GAGATCGGACCCCCAGTCATGCCAGAAATTCAGGACTGATATGAGAGTACCGTATTTTTCACTCTATAAGACGCACCTTTTCCCTCCTACAAAGTAAGGGGAAATGTGTGTGCGTCTTATGGAGCAAATGCAGGCTGCGAAGCTGTCCCAGAAGCCAGAACAGTGAGAGGGATCGCTGCACAGCGCTCCCACTTGCTGTTCTAGCTTCTGGCTTAGCCCCTCTGTCCCTTCCCCCACCTCCTGGAAAAGCCCGCACGAGCCGCGCGGAGCGTGTGTGTGGCTCTTGGGGGCTTTTTCCCTTCTCCCTCCTCAGGGAAAAGCCTGCAAGGCTGCCCTTATCCCTCCTCAGGGAAAAGCCTGCAAGCGCTGCACACACGCTCCACGCGGCTCGTGAAAGGGAGCGCTGAGCAGAGCCTGGGATGCATACAGGCTCCTCTCAGTGCTCCCTTTAAAGAATATATTTTTTCTTGCCTTCCCCCTCTAAAAACTAGGTGCATCTTATGGAGCGAAAAATACGGTAATTAGTCCTGCTGATCTCTCTCCAGGGTAGGAGAGGGCTGTCTAACCCGTGGAGTCCGTTATCTGGCAGATGTGGGGGCAGAGGACTTTGGGTGCTAAGCCTGGCACAGAAACTGGGCACTCTCTTGAGTCATGCTCTCGAGCAGGGACACCTGTTTCTTAAAAATTAGTAAGATTTGGGGGAAAAACAGGCGTATTATGGACTGATGGAGATAAGGGGAAAAAATCTGTGGAACTGCACAGTCACTGGTGTCTAAGTTTGGACTTCAAAGAGATTCTCATCACGGTGCTTGGATTTACGGAGGTGATTGGTACGTTCTCTCTTTTATATCTACATTTGCTTTTATATGCCGAGCCTCATTAAAAAAGATCTAATTTTTTAAAACCGAGTACAGATGGACTTCTATTTGCAATTGATTATTCAGCTGTGCAGTTTTAATTGGACTTCACAAAGATAAAGGAGAGGAACAAAGATGGTGCTTGCTAGTTGTGACACAGGATGGAAAAAGCGTATTCCTCCCTTTTTCGTGTGAGTGGGAAACATCCTTTGGCTGATTCTACAAAGATCTGAGACAATAATTTGGGAAATATCCCACAACATACAGTGCATCTGTTTGCAGGTTTTTCTTCATTATGGGCGAGAGAGAAGGCGAAACGGGTGTCTAGCAGCTCCCTTCTAGGGCCTAGAGGAGAGTGTGCGGGGTCCCCAGAAAAGCTGATCAATCGCTCAATGATTTATATCTGTGGAAAATATTCCATTTCAATTGCTACATATATCTGTGAACAGTATGCATAATAACTTGACAACACGGGAATTTACTGCATCACAAAACTTAAAATGGCAGACTTGGACAACAGCCTGGACTGGAAGATAATAGTAAGCCACAAAAAGCTGTGCTGGCAAACTGACAAAGGAATACACACACACACACACACACACACACACACACACACACACATTAAGCTGTGCTCGCCAGATGAAATGATACATGACTGTTCAACATGATTGAGAATTGATTAGCCAGGAACTGGAGACTTTGAGAGTTTAAAATCAGAATGTGGAAATTATGAAAACAACAAGGAAAAGGCAGAAATATAATTATGTGAGATGATTCTTTAGAGGTCCAGAATATGGGAAGTCCGTGTGAAATTTAATAATTAATAATTTGGATTGTAATTTGTTTCTATCTATCTATCTATCTATCTATCTATCTATCTATCTATCTATTTATTTATTCCCCTTGAATTGGATTATGATTTGATTTGTTCTTAATTGGATGTTCTTAATGGAAAATTAATAAAAAATATTTGGAGTGGGGAGTTGTTGAGCTTTTTTAACGATTGAAGTTGTTGAGCTTTTGGGGGGGATTTTACCACAAGGTTGTTTGAGGCCTCCAGGCATACAACAGGACAGATTGGGCTTCAACGTGTGTTTTTAACTGCTGTAGGATGACAGATCTCGCATGCTGCCCTAGTGGAAAGACTGATGACGGCCATCTACATGCCAAAGGCGATCGCAGTAATCCATTGCAAAGCACACACCAAGTCTTAGAGGGAAACAGGAGGGCAGACAGGGCAGCTCAGGCAGCAGCAATACGCCTCTCCAATGATGCAACCGAGTTTCAGGGAATACAAATGCCTGCTTATGTGGACTTTGAGCAAATGTATCAAGTAGCCACATAGGAGAAGTCTAGGTGGGAATACTTAGGAGCCACAAAAATAAATGGAACGTGGGCTCTCCTCAATGGGAGGGTCGTTATGCCCCAGGCATGGATCCCCAGATATGTGAGAGTTCTTCATCAATGCACTCATTGGGGAAAGGGAAAAATGATAGACAACATACAGAGATGCTGGTATACTCCAGAAGTGGCTACTGTGGCCACAGCCACCTCAAATAACTGTATCACATGCAAAATCTTTAATCCCAAATGTGAACCTAATCACCCCCCAGGGGCCACACCCTGGGTGTTTGTTCCCTTCGAAAGCTTACTTCTACCTCCTTGCCAAGGGTTCAAACATGCTCTTATCATCGTGGATAAATTTTCTTCCTGGGTGGAGGGGTTTCCTTGTAGGAGAGCCACTGCACAGGTAGTTGCCAGAGCCCTCCTTCATGAACTAATCCTGTGTTGTGGGGTACCCCGATGACTGAACAGTGATAGGGGAACTCATTTTATTTTTTATTTTTTTAAAAATGATATTTATTAAAGTTTCAAAAAATACATGAAAATACAGAATACAGAAAAAAGTATAAGGTTTTTAAGATATAACAAAAAAGTAAAAAATAAAGAGAAACATACAAAATAAAACAGTTAAAAACACATTAATTTTCCATAGCCTATCTTCCTTACACTTATTTCCCCGGACCTCCTCGTACCTCCCTTTTTTGTATTCCAGTTTAATTTATTAGTTCAGCAAATCCTTACCATTAAGCTTTTACCCATTTATAAGCCTTTTTTCGTATCTCTTAAAGCATTACAGCTGGAAACCACTTAGTTTCTATCCAACATCCTTCTAAGATTCCTTAATTTTACAATATTTCTGTAAATAGTCTTTAAATTTCTTCCAGTCTTCTTTCACCGACTCTTCTCCCTGGTCTCGGATTCTGCCAGTCATTTCCGCCAATTCCATGTAGTCAATTACCTTCATCTGCCATTCTTCCAGAGTGGGTAAATCTTGTGTCTTCCAATACTTTGCAATGAGTATTCTTGCTGCTGTTGTAGCATACATAAAAAAAGTTCTGTCCTTCTTTGGCACCAATTGGCCGACAATGCCCAGAAGGAAGGCCTCTGGTTTCTTCAGAAAGGTATATTTAAATACCTTTTTATTTCATTATAAATCATCTCCCAGAAAGCCTTAATCCTTGGGCACGTCCACCAAAGGTGAAAGAATGTACCTTCAGTTTCTTTACATTTCCAACATTTATTATCGGGCAAATGATAGATTTTTGCAAGCTTGACTGGTGTCATGTACCACCTGTATATCATTTTCATAATATTCTCTCTTAAGGCATTACATGCCGTAAACTTCATACCTGTGGTCCATAACTGTTCCCAGTCAGCAAACATAATATTGTGTCCAACATTTTACATCGGAGGTGATCCAGCAAGTTGCATGGGTGCTAGGTATCAAATGGGAACTACATACACCATACCACCCGGCTTCGTCTGGACAAGTAGAGCACATGAATCAAGAAATAAAAGTTCAGCTAGGGGAAATGTGTAGTGCAACTGGACTTAAATGGGTAAATGCCCTACCTTTAGTTCTCCACAACATCCGCAGCTCTCCTAGAGGCCTCCTGAAACTGTCTCCCTATGAACTCTTGTTTGGGAGACCCTCTCCGGTCTATAACACTCAGTTTCCCCTCTCAGAATGGGACATAGGGGAATCAGAACTTACTAACTATGTTATTCAGCTTCAGAAACAGTTGCATCACCTTCACAGCTATGCTGCGATTGAAGGACAGATTCTGCCCATTGATGCTCGAGCCCACTCTTTCCAACCCGGTGACTGGATCCTTACGAAGGTGTACCAAAATCAACTATTGCAACCAGCCTGGGAAGGACTGTACCAGATTCTGCTCACCTTGCCCACTGCCATTAAGGTTGGAGAAAAGAACGCCTGTATTCATCACACGAGGTGTAAAGTGGTCCAACCACCTGAGGAAGACCAACACTGTTTTTTCTGCACTTCTGCCCACTCCAACCTCCTACATTGACAACGACGAGGACCAGCAGACTGGACCAGATCGGCACCAGGATCAGGTCCAACAGACTGGACCAGATCAAGGCCCGAGTCGGGCCCAACAGACCGGACCAGACTCCACTGCAAACCTGGCACTATCTGGACCTCTGAGATCATCCCACAGGGGGCCGGAATCAAACGCCAGCTAAAACGCCAGCCCACCGCTTCGTTTGACAGTTTGCCTTGACAACCGCTTTGTTTGACAGTTCACCTCTTTCTTTGACAGCTCACTGCCTCTGACAGCTAATACTGCTCCACGCTGCTCCAGGATGAACAAATACATCCTTCTTCTTCTCATCCTTCTCCCTTGGAGCTCACACTGTGCACACCCCTTGGATTTATGCCCAGGTCTACAAACGGACTACAACTTTCTTGACTATGACACTGTAGAGTGTAGGGGCAAGTCAAACATGGATCGAATGGGGGAATTTGACATCTGCCAGCCTGAGTCACGAGCCTTGCTCAGACACTCACTGACACCCCAGCTCCAAGGAACTCAATATTGGGAACTTTTTATATGAGACAGACATTACACCTGCCTGGGTACTGCCATTCTTACCCTGGATAATAATCAACAAAATCGCCTGCAATGTACGAACGGTAGCTACCTCCTTTACAGCCAAGGGGAAGTTACCAAGCACCCAAACTAGACAGAGGTGGACAATGGGCGAGCTGTTTATATCTACACAGATTCCAAACACCCCACAGAGAACTTAATTTTTGGGTTCCAATGCCTTCAAATGGACTCTCAGCCCCAGAAAACCCACCTACAAGGACTTTGCCTACGACGATTTTGTTGCCTCTGGGACATTGGAGTAACCAACGACTGGGAAGGGCCAGAATACCTGGAAGGCTGGCTTCACTCCACAGGGGCTGCACAAAACCCCGAGTGGGACCACACTGGGCCTCAGAGGTGTGGGGCGGGGGGGTCACCAAGGACATGAGACTTCTGAAAATCAATGACCCTCTGCATTCCCTAGGCACTGCACCGAGGCATGTTGGCCCAACCCATTTGTACCCAGAGCAAGATCTTTGCTCCTGGGGCAAGGAGGAAATATCCGACTGTTGAGCAAGGTGGCCAGAGAAGCTCCTTACCCCAACTGCTGGATCTGTGCTCACACACCAAATCACCAGAAGCAAGGCCTGCCCTTGGTAGCAGTGGCTGTGACCTTGGACCAATACTCCACTGGGGACATCACTTCCTGGAACCTGACAGCCCTGAACCTTACCCATCAATACCTGTACTTGACGGAACCCACAAAAGGACCCCTCTGCCACCTCTTCACAGGGGAGGGAACCCCTGTTGGAAAAAGCACCTGTGACATCAACCTTGACATCTTGATCACAGGGCAAGTGACTGCCTCTAACAGCACTCAGTCTAGGACTTACCCAGACCTCACCAGCACATTGAAGGAGGCCGTGGGCCACCCTGCCAAGTGGCAGCCAGATTACCTCAACACCATGCTTCTCCAAGCCTTTGCTTCCAGAAGGATGGAATCCTTCCTCAATGGTTTGTTCTGGATCTGTGGGCATCGAGTGTATACCTGGATTAGCCCTCACATGTCTGGATCTTGCTTTGTGGGATATATCATCCCAGGACTAAGGATTACCCCACATCTCCCTGCAGGGCAACAGAGGAATAAAAGAGAGCAAAAGACCCTGTTGGACCTGTCTGATGTGGCTGCAAATGGAGAAACTGTGGAAAGGGTGCTGTTTCCCGCCTATGGAGCAGGGTCTAACCATGTGGACATTCTCAAACTCACGGACATCCTGCTGAAATTTATGCAGGAATGTGTGCCAAACCCGCAGGGGTTTGGGAAGGAGGCAGGATTGCAGACGTGAACGCTAGGATCCATTCTAGACCCGCAAAGCAATGCCACAAGCACCAAATGAGAAGCGGTGAAGCATTCCGAGGCATAAAATTTAACTCCGGACTCTAAAGAAACAAAAGGAAAAATCAGAACAGAAGCAGAAGTATTAAGGAGGTCCGGAAAGTTGCTCCAAACGTATGGAAACTAAGGAAATCCTACCTGATGCTGGTGGAGAAAATGGCGCATGAAAAGATTGTTATGAGTGAGCCAGCATACTACAAGATGTACTGAGTGAGTAATAAGGGGGAAAGAGTCTCAGTACCCTAAGGTGGAAAAGGAGGCATAGACGAAAGGTGGATAAAATAAATTTGACTGTGGGACTTAAGACAATGTTTCAAATGCCCAAGAATCTCGGCGTACCCGAGAGAGGTTTGGAACTTTGTATCCGCTGCTCAGTTTTCGGAATATCACTTTATACCCCGCCCATCTGGCTGAGTTTCCCCAGCCACTCTGGACGGCTCCCAATCAAGTGTTAAAAACAGTACAGCGTTAAATATTAAAAACTTCCCTGAACAGGGCTGCCTTAAGATGTCTTTTAAAGATAGGATAGCTTCTTATTTCCTTCACATCTGAAGAGAGGGCGTTCTACAGGGTGGGCACCACTACCGAGAAGGCCCTCTGTCTGGTTCCCTGTAACCTCATTTCTCGCAATGAGGGAACCGCCAGAAGGCCCTCGGCGCTAGATCTCAGTGTCTGGGCTGAACGATGGGGGTGGAGACGCTCCTTTAGGTATACAGGACCGAGGCCGTTTAGGGCTTTAAAGGTCAGCACCAACACTTTGAATCGTGCTCGAAAACGTACTGGGAGCCAATGCAGATCTCTCAGAACCGGTGTTATGTGGTCCCGGCGGCCACTCCCAGTCACCAATCTAGCTGTCGCATTCTGGATTAATTGCAGTTTCCGGGTCACCTTCAAAGGTAGCCCCATGTAGAGCGCATTGCAGTAGTCCAAGCGGGAGATAACGTATTTTTCGCCCTATAGGGCGCACCGGCCCATAGGGCGCACCTAGATTTTTTTTTGGGGGGGGGAATAAAGAAAAAAAAATATTTTCCCCCCAGGCGCGGGGCTGGGGCGGGGGAAGCCCAAGCTTACCCTGACCCCAGCCCCAGCCCCCAGAACAGGCTGCTATACGCAAGCCTGGGGAGTCCGGCGGGAAGTCGCCGCTGCACTCCCCGGGTTTCGGGCTGCAGGCTGTTGACCGCAAGCCTTGGGAGCCCAGCGGGAAGTGCGCACTGACCCCTCTCGCTCTCCAGGCTTCAGTGAAAGTCTGCATTCGCCCCATAGGACACACACACATTTCCCCTTCATTTTTGGAGGGGAAAAAGTGCATCCTATAGGGCGAAAAATACGGTAACTAGAGCATGCACCACTCTGCCGAGACAGTCCGCAGGCAGGTAGAGTCTTAGCCTGCGTACCAGGTGGAGCTGGTAGACAGCTGCCCTGGACACAGAATTAACCTGCGCCTCCATGGACAGCTGTGAGTCCAAAAGGACTCCCAGGCTGCACACCTGGTCCTTCAGGGGCACAGTTACCCCATTCAGGACCAGGGAATCCCCCACACCCACCCGCCCCCTGTCCCCCCAAAACAGTACTTCTGTCTTGTCAGGATTCAACCTCAATCTGTTAGCCGCCATCCATTCTCCAACAGCCTCCAGACACTCACACAGGACCTTCACCGCCTTCACTGGTTCTGATTTAAAGGAGAGGTAGAGCTGGGTGTCATCTGCATAATGATGAACACCCAGCCCAAACCCCCTGATGATCTCTCCCAACGGCTTCATATAGATATTAAAAATCATGGGGGAGAGGACGGAACGCTGAGGCACCCCACAAGTGAGAGCCCAGGGGTCTGAACACTCATCCCCCAACACCACTTTCTGGACACGGCCCAGGAGAAAGGAGCGGAACCACCGTATAACAGTGCCCCCAGCTCCTCTAGACAGTCCAGAAGGATGTTATGGTCGATGGTGTCAAAGGCCACTAAGAGATCCAGCAGAACTAGGAAACAGCTCTCACCTTTGTCCCTAGCCCACCGGAGATCATCAACCAGCTCGACCAAGGCAGTTTCAGTCCCATATGAGGCCTGAATCCCGATTAGAAGGGATCCAAATGGTCCGCTTCCTCCAGGCGTGCTTGGAGTTGTTCAGCAACCACCCGCTCAATCACCTTGCCCAAGAATGGTAGATTTGAGACTGGGCGATAGTGGGCCAAATTGGCCGGGTCTAAAGATGTTTTTTTAAGAAGCGGTTTAATGGCCGCCTCTTTCAGCGGGTCTCGGAAGGCTCCCTCAGAGAGGGAAGCATTCACCACCCCGCGGAGCCCATCGTCCAGCCCTTCCCAGCTCGCTTTTATCAGCCAGGATGGGCAAGGATCAAGGAGACAGGTGGTCGGTTTCACTTGTCCAAGCAGCCTGTCCACATCCTCGGAGGTAACAGATTGGAATTGATCCCATGTAACAGGACTAGACAGAACTCTAGCACTCTCCTGCCCTGGCCCTGCTCCCACGGTGGAGTCTACCTCCCTCTGAATCTGCAAAAAACTTTGCAAAAGCATTGCAGGAGATCTTGGGGTCCCTACCAGGCCCCAGTGGTGCAGGTGGTTCCGATAGATTGCGAACCACCTGAAAAAGTCTCCTGCTGCTGTTTTCTGCAGATGCAATGGAGGTGGCGAAGAAGGCCCTCTTTGCCATCGCCATTGCCACTTGGTAGGCTCGACGTTGAGCTCTAACCCGTGTCCGGTCTGATTCAGAATGAGTTTTCCGCCACCGGTGCTCTAGCCGTCTCAACGATTGTTTCATCGCCCTCAGCTCCGGGGAAAACCACGGGGCTGTCCGGGCTCCATGCAATCGGAGAGGGCGCTTCGGAGCCAAACAGTCAATAGCCCTGGTTAACTCTGCATTCCAGCGGGCCACCAGGGAATCAGCTGAAAGGCCATCAACTTGGGATAAAACATCCCCTACCACTCTCTGGAAGCCAATTGGATCCATTAAGTGGCGGGGGCGGACCATCCGAATCGGTCCCACCTCCCTGCAGAGGGGAAGGGTCGTGGAGAAGTCCAGTTGCACCAGGAAGTGATCTAACCATGGCACTTCTTTTGTTTCGCTTTTAGTTAGTGTCAGATCACCAACATCCGTAGAGGTAAACACCAAGTCTAAGGCATGTCTGCGGCTATGAGTTGAGCCAAACTTATTCAGGGACAGCCCCATGGAGGCCATGCTTTCCACGAAGTCCCGAGCAGCCCCTTGTAAGGTCGTGTCGGCATGGATGTTAAAATCCCCCAGGACAACCAAGCTAGGTGTCTCCAGGAACATATCCACCACGACCTGAAGCAGCTCGGGCAGGGAATCCTTGGTGCAGCGGGGAGGTCGGTACACCAATAGGAATCCTGTACTGCCCCTGTTGCCCAACTTCCAGAACATGCACTCAGAAAACTGGGTCTTCCCAATAGGATGCCTAGTGCAGACTAATGACTTCCTAAAAATCACTGCAACCCCCCCTCCCCGCCCACATGACCTGGGTTGCTGTGCGTAAGAGAAACCTGGTGGGCAAGCAGCGGCAAGGACATGTTACGATATAGAAGCAATGCAGCCGCGAGCTACTAGCTTGAAAACACATGATGGAATGTTAGGACTGTTCCGTGGGAAACAGAGGGACAGTCAATTCACAGGGCAATGCACTGGAATTAGCTCAGAGTGTAATATGAGCTCTTCCTTTTGCTCTTGTACAGGAAGTGTTTGTCTCTCGACTGCTGGAGTTTGAAGAGAGCAGTCATGTTTTTTGTAACGCTGCAAAGACAGAAATAAAGGCATGTAAATACGTTTCTGTCTATCTCTTTCCCCTGCCGGGGTGGCAGGAAAGAGGGGGGGGTGTTCTTCTCACGCTGAGAAGGATCGCCTATCGCGACCTCTGCCTGGATCTTGCTGGGAAAGCAGACAGGGAGGTCAACAGGAGACCAAGCCGGGTGCCTGAGAGAGTTGTCAGTTTCTCCTGATAAAGGCTTGATTTCTGACAGGACAGGCCCATCTGCTTCATCCAACCAGGTCTCTGTCACATATGCCAGGTCAAACCTTCCATCCACAATCAGGTCGTGGATGGCAGTGGTTTTATTCATCATTGACCTGGCATTGCACAGCAACACTTTCAGGTCATGTGGGTTTCCCTTGCTGATTCCTGTATCCTTCTGGTCAAGACCAGACCTGGAGGCAGGGATAGTCCTCAAACAACGACTAAACCTGCCTCCTCGGTAATGACATGGTCTGGTCTTAGCATAACTCCTCCTCCTGCCCGTGATCACTGAGATCGGGTGTCCCAATACATCCCCCCCTGTGGAACCTGCCCCAGCCATTCTATAGGCTGAGGCCCACTCCCAGGTAGCCCTGACCCCTCCCCTTAAAAAGCAAAATACAAACTATATAGTAACTTAACAGAATAATAAATTGATAAAAACAAAGCAATGAACAATTATGTCAAATTAAACTACTCCCCACCTGACTAAATACTTATCCCACCCCAAGCAGAAATAAAATAATAAAATAATATAATATTATTTTAAAAACCACCTGTCAAGGCTGCCTCAAGTCTCAGCTCACAAAAGACCAACGCCTATGTCTTCTTATATACAAAAGTGTTTATTGCAGTTCATTGTTTGCTTGACATCCTAGGCGCGCAGCCTTACGTCTGCTATGCTTAGACCGCTGAAGTCCCCTCTGAATCCGTCCCTCCCCTACACCAATTTAAGAGGCTTGCGCTGCTCCACCTCTTTCTCTCCTTCCTTTTCCGCAGGGTCCTTCTGCCCGCTGGGGTTTCGCCCCTCCTGGATTCCTCTGACGCGGAATCAGACTGCTCTTCCCCCTCCTGCGGGCTTTGGGACCTGGCCCCTCCTCCGGGCTCCCTGTACTTCCGCGCGCCTCTACATTTGAACTTGGCGCGCGGGCCAAACCTCTAACTTTCCTTTTGACAGTTACACTACTCC